GATTCTACATTATTTTTAGGGTTGCATAGTATTCCATTGTGTGAATGTACCACAGTTTGTTTTTCCATTCCTTGGTTGATGGGCACTTAGGTTGTTTCTGTCTCTTAGCTATTATGAATAGTGCTGCAATGAACACAGATATGCATTTATCATTTTATGTCCTCTTTAGGATATATACCTAGTAACAGGATTGTTGGATCAAATGGTATTTCTGTTTCCAACTCTGTAAGGAACCACCACACCGATATCCACAGTGGTTGTGTCATTTTATAGTCCCACCAGCAGTGTATGAGAATTCCAATCTCTTTACATCCTCCCCAGTATTTGTTTTTTCTGTCTTGTTGAACTTTGCTGTTAATGCTGGGGTGAGAGGGTTTGTTTTGGTTTGCATCTCTCTAATGGCTAATGATCACAAACATTTCTTCATGTGTTTGTTGACTGCCTGAGTATCTTTTTTGATGAGGTGTTTGTTCATATTTTCTGCCTATGTTTTAATTGGATTGTTTGTCTTTTTGTTGTTGGTGTGTTAGACTTTTCTATAAATTTTAGAGACAAGTCCTTTGTCCAGTATGCCATTGCTGAATATTTTTTCCCATTCTCTAGGTTCTGTTTTTACTCTTTTATAAAAGTCTTTGGATGCACATAAGAATTTAATTTTTAGAAGGTCCCAATCATCTAGTTATCTTCTGCTGTTTGTGCATCTTACGTTATGTTTGATAATCTATTTATGCCATAAATTAGGGCCCCTAAGTTTGCCCCAGGAGCTCTGGTATCATAGTGGCTAAAGCACTTGACTGCTAACCAGAAGGCTGACGGTTCAAACCCACCAGCTACTCCTTGGAAGGAAGGTTGGGCAATTCTACTTCCGTAGTGATACTGCCTCGGAAACCCAATGAGGGGTCGCTATGAGTCAGGGCTGACTCGATGGCACATAACAACAACAACAACAACAAGTTTTCCCCTATTTTTCCTTTGATGAACTTTATAGTTTTAGGTTTCACATTTAAGTCTTTGATCCATCTGGAGTTAGTTTTTGTATATGGTATGAGGTATGGACTTTGTTTCATTTTTCGGCAAATGGATATCCAGTTTTGCCAGCATCGTTTGGGAAAAAGACTATCTCTTCCCCATTGACTAGATTTTGGCCTTTTGTCAAAGATCAGCTTACCATAGGTGCATGGATCTATTTCTGAGTTCTCAATTCTGTTCCACTGTTCTATGTGTATGTCATTGTATCAGTACCAGGCTGTTTGGACAACTGTGGCTGTGTAGTTGGTTCTGAGGTCTGTGAGTGTGAGTCCTCTTACTTTGTTCTTCTTCAGTAGTGCTTTGCTTATCCAAGGTCTCTCTCTTTTCCATATAAAATTAGTGATTGGTTTTTCCATGTCTTTAAAGAATGGTGATAGAACCTGGATTGTGATTGCATTGAATGTATAGATTGCTTTGGGTAGTATTGACGTTTTCACAATGTTCAATCTTCCTATCTTTGACCATAATAGGCTCTTTCATTTATGTAGATCTCTTACAGTTTCTTGAAGTGTTTTGTAGTTTACTTTGTATAGGTCTTTTGTGTCCTGGTAAGATTTATTTCCAAGTATTTTATATTTTTGGTAGCTATTGTAAATGGTAGGAGCTCTGGTGGCATAGTGCCTAAGGCACTTGACTGCTAACCAGAAGGCTGACGGTTCAAACCC